TGTTCTTTTAAAGTTGCTTATTCACTAGCTAAGAGAAAGTAGAGGAAGGTGGGAGGATATTCTGACCTTATTATATACATGTTACTGTCATGTTAATAATCAACAGCAGGTAGTCATACAGAAGCAGCTTGAGATTGTACCTTGCATTATTATCTAAGTGTAAATAAAAAGAGGGCAGAAAAGGTAAGATTTAAAAAAAAAACAAAAAAAAAGAGAAAGTTTTGCACTTCTTCCTCTTTATGTAACTGCAATTATGAATTTCTATTCTTGTTTAACATCTATACCAATGACGTGGAGGATGCAAAAGAGTATACCTTCCTCAAGTTTGCAGATGACACCAAAGTGGAAGAGCTGCCATTCAGAGGGGCCTAGACAGACAGGCTAGAGGAGTGGGCCAGCAAGAATCTCATGAAATTTAATAAGGGCAAATACAGAGTCTTGTGCCTGAGAAGGAGGAACCCCTGGCAACAATGCAGGCTAGGATGGACTGGCTGGGGAGCAGCTCGGCAGAAAAGGACCTGGAGGCCCTGGTGAGGCAGGGAGCTGAATATGAACCAGCACTGTATTGTGGCAGAGAAGGTAGACAACAGCAACCTGGGCTTTACTATAAGGAGCAGAACCAGTAGATTGAGGGAAGTGATTATCCCCTTTACTTGGCATTTATTAGACTACATCTAGAATACTGTTTTTCACCCTGGAGTTCAATCTTTTAAAAGGATTTTAAGTCTCTAAGTACAGATTTTATCTATTTTAATGATAACATCAATTTTATTTTTCTTTTTAGGATACAGAGATAACTGCAATAAATGATGCTACATTCATAGGGTTTCATTACGCTTGTATAAGGCACCCTCTCCCCTTGGCCCTACAGTTTTGTTAGGAGTTAATCTTCCATACATTGATAGAATAATTTGAGAGATTTAATAAGGTAATAGGCAGAAGAATTATTACGGTGCTCAGCTGAGTAATAGGTTTTGAACTTGGTTAAATCAAAGGATACATAGAGAGAGCACATTCTTTAAATTGTTCAGCAACCCAACAGAACTTGGAAGCTTGTCACAGACTGAAAACTGGCACACAAGGCTCCCCTGCTCAAACCCAAACAGTAAAAACACTAAAAGGATATATTTTGTTTGCATACAGAAACTGTATACTTGTCTTCGACAATATGTAGAATGGTGATTACTACACCATAATTGACTTCGACATACTTAAAAAAACAGTAGGTGGTATAGAGGTCAATTCTAAACACTGTTACTTCTTGTAAGAAAACTGTAGAAAACTCAATAGTATTTTTGACTGCAACTGCATTATACTGCATAAATAGGGAATTTGGTGTGATACCATGGTAATCTCTACCCTAAAGCCAAAGTTACTGGAAAAGAAAGAGAGAAAGAGA